ACTTTAGCTGCAAAGATACAGAGTGAAAACCAGAACACTACAGCTACTGATAAGAACACTATCTCACTGTCTCTATCAGATGATTCTGAGATTACTCTCAGTGATTCAGTTGATAGCTCAACTCAGGTCAGATTTTCTAGCTTTAGATTAAGGATTATATGATGAATCTGCTCAAGAGATTTCTGCAAAGTAGTTCATTGTAAACTTAGTTTGAAGGTGATTTTTTTTGTTCTTTTGTTTTGTGTGTGGTGTTTAATTAGTCTGGAGCTGTTAGTGATGAAAGTGATAAACGTTCGAGTTTATTGGATCAAATCGAACTCGAATTCGAAGGTATCTCAAGATCTTGATCTCTCTCTATCACTTAGTGATTATAAAAGTTATCTCAAAAAAATTTGTGTTTAGGAAAGTGTTTGTGTTTATATTGTCCAGCTCATCTCAATGGTCTAAACCAAGCTGGATCTGATGATGTCAAGGCTGAAACTAAGGATGATGATGAATTATGTACGAACAAAAAAACTTTCTTTTTACCATTTTTGTAACAATGATTTGTCTCTTCAAGAATGTTTTGTTTTGCTTAGGAAGTTGTTTATGTATCTTTATTTCAGCTGCTCAGAGACAGAAAATGTTGGAAGATATCGAACGCGATTTTGAAGGTTATCTCACAGATTCTATCTATTCCCTTATAATTAGATTCTATAAGAAATTCACTTATATAAATTTATTGTTACTTATGTCTTCTTTGGCTTCTCTTACTTGTAGTTGCTTCAGCTAACTTGAAACAACTAAAGATTGATGAATCAAGTGAAGGAAATGATGAAGGATGTAAATTCTCTTGACTCCAAATGTCTCCTTTGCGTAGTATAATACACTGAAACAAGTTTTTTGTCTTTATTACAGCTGCAAAGAGACAGAGTTTGTTGGATGAGATCGAAAGAGAGTTTGAAGGTATATTACCAACATACTTTGTCTTAAAGTAGTTCCTCAGTCTTGGGATAAACTCATGAAATCTAAGACTATGCTTTGCCTTCTGTTTCCTTTACTTGTAGCTGCTACAAAAGATCTTGAACTACTCAAGGTTAATGAGTTCACCGGGGACAAAGATAACGAAGAACAATGTAATAAAGTCTTCTCCTCCGATTCATCGGTTCTCTTTTTTGTCGCTTCTTTAGTATTTTTTGTGAATGGTGTTGTGTCTTTTGTTACAGCTGCAATGAGAAAAAGTATGCTTGAAGCTATCGAACGCGAGTTTGAAGGTTCTTAAATTTCAATAGTTTGTGAGTATATCATCTAAGAGTTTGTTTGTTGTGTATTTACTGTTTCAATCTTCTACTTGCAGCTGCTTTTGAAGGACTTGAAGAACTAAGGGTCTCTGATTCTACCGGAAGTGAAAATGATGAAGAACAATGTAAATGTCTCAATGATCTCTTCTTGTTTTCTTTGATACATTGTCTCTGAAGTTGCTTCTATGCCTTGTAACAGCTGCAAAGAGACTAAGTATGCTTGAAGAGATCGAACAGGAATTCGAAGGTACTTTGTGCATACCACTAACTGTCTTAAACTGKAAAAAAAAAAAAAAACTAAGTATGCTTGAAGCAAATTTTTCCGTTTACTTATCTCTGTGTTCTGTTTCTCATAGCTGCTACAAAAAGTCTTGAACAACTCAAGATTAATGATTTAAACGGGGACAAAGTTAACGAAGAACAAGGTTCTGTTTCTTCTTTATCTGTTGCCTTTTTTGTTGCATATGGTTTTCTGAAATCAGATTGATCTTACCGTCGTAAAACAGTTGCAAAGAGACAAAGTCTGTTAGAAGAAATCGAACGAGATTTTGAAGGTAACTTCCACATAACATTTACTGATCTCTTAACTAGTTCAAAATCACATCTCTTGAGTATTATCTGAGAGTATTGTGTGTTCATTGCTTGACAGCTGCTACAGATAGCCTTAAGCAACTTCAAGTTGATGGATCAAGTGAAGACAAAGAACAAAGTAAAAACACTCTTCTTCTTTTGATCCGATTTTTCTTTCGCTATACCGTAATTTGAGATAGTATTTGATGTCTTGTTATAGCTGCGAAGAGGCAAAGTATGTTGGAAGAAATGGAACGTGAATTCGAAGGTATCTTAATGAAATATCGAACGCATTCAAACCAAACATGGCGAATGTTTTTCTAAGAGTTGTGTCTTACTTTCAGCTGCAACAAGTGGTCTTAAAGAACTAAATGATCTCACTGAAGGCAATGTAGATGATGAACAATGTAACTAGCTTGCTTTTTTTTCTTCATTTTTCGACTCTTTTTTTCTTTCTCTCTTACGCTATTCAAAGACTTATGTTTGTTTTTATGTTTTCATTACAGCTGCAAAGAGAAAGAGTATGCTTGAAGAGATCGAACGCGAATTCGAAGGTAACTTCACATACCATTTATTTAAATCTCTTTTTAAGTTTTTATGGTTTAGACTAATTTTCAGTAATCTTATACTTGTAGCTGCTACAAAGGATCTTGAAGAACTTAGGGTTAATAGTTTCTCTCAAGGAAATGATAATGAAGAACAAGGTAAGTAACAAAGAAAACTCTTCTTTTCTATGTTATTGTACTGATTCACATTCTGAGACAGAGTTAGTTACAGTTGCAAAGAGAAAGAGTATGCTTGAAGAAATCGAACGCGAGTTTGAAGGTATTGCAAAATTATCATTTATCAGTCTAGTAATTAGCTTCATTTGCTTTAGAGGAAGATCTTGAATCTGTTTTAATCTTTCTGCTTGCAGCTGCGATCGAAGGTCTTAAACAGATAAAAGTTGATGATTCTAAGAACATTGAAGAACAATGTAATTTCTTTTGATCCATTTTTCTTCTCTATTGCAACTTTTTTTTTAATACAAATTATGAAAATTTTGTTATTAATTCTTGTTTGATCAGCTGCTAAGAGAAAGATAATGTTAGAAGAAATCGAACGCGAATTCGAAGGTACTTACAAAATTTCACTAAAGCAATGAATATAATAAACTTGACAGTGTCTGATTCCAACCTTCTTCTTCTTTCAGAAGCTCAAAATGGTTTTGCTACAAAGACTGATAAAGAAGAATGTAAGAAAAAACCAAAACTCTTTTCAATTTCATTCGGTTTCTGACAATTTTCTAAGATAAGTTATTGTTTTCACAGCTGCAAAGAAACAGAGCGGTTCGATTACACCAGATGTTCTTGGACTTGGAAACTCAGGTGCTTGTGGCTGTCTTAATCAAGACGAAGATGGTTCGATTGTTATACCGACAAAATTAAGCATCGAGGAAATACTCTCTGAAGAATCTTCAAGCCAGGTTTTTGTTTTCATATCATTTCTTGAACAACAAGAAAGTGATTACAATCACAATATCTCAAAACCCTAATTCCTATGTTCTTTATAATTTTTGCAGGGAACAGAGACTTCTTCTAGTCTCAGTGCTTCTTTAACTCAACTCGTTGAGAATCACAGGAAAGAAAAGGAATCTTCAGACATACACAGAGTTCTTACTTCTTCCACAAGCGAATCAGCTATTACCTCGGAGACTGTAGAAACCCTAAGAGCTAAACTTAAAGAGCTTCGCGGGTTAACCGCTCGTGAGCTTGTTACACGTCAAGATTTCGATCAGATTTTAGTTACGGCGGCGCGATTCGAAGAGCTAAGCTCAGCTCCAATAAGTTACATTTCTAGGTTAGCTAAATATAGAAGCGTTATTAAAGAAGGACTTGAAGCTTCTGAGAGAGTCCATATCGCGCAAGCACGAGCTAAACTGTTCAAAGAAACCGCCTCGGAGAAGCAGACCATTGTAGACGCTAATTTTGCGGAAGCGAAAACGCTTGCTGATAAAGGAGACAAGTTGTACGTTAGAATCTTCTCGATCAAGAAACTGTTGAAGAAGCTTGAAACAGAGAAAGAAGCTTTAGATGGTAAGTTTAAGGAGATTGCGAAGAGTCTTTCTCATCTTCTTGTTGATGCTTCAGAGGCTTACGAAGAGTATCACGATGCGGTTAAAAAGGCGAAAGACGAGCAAGCTTCTGAGGAATTTGCTAGAGAAGCAACTCAGAGTGCAGAGATCATTTGGGTTAAGTTTCTTAGTTCTCTTTAGAGAACAACTGAGATTCTTTCTTGTGTTTAGAGCAAATCTAGAGCTCTTGTTTGTTCTTGTCTTGTATTTTGTGTTTATGTTCTGTTTCAGAGTTTGTGTGTTGAGTTTATCA